GAGAAAGAGAGAAAGAGAGAAAGAGAGAAAGAGAGAAAGAGAGAAAGAGAGAAAGAGAGAAAGAGAGAAAGAGAGAAAGAGAGAAAGAGAGAAAGAGAGAAAGAGAGAAAGAGAGAAAGAGAGAAAGAGAGAAAGAGAGAAAGAGAGAAAGAGAGAAAGAGAGAAAGAGAGAAAGAGAGAAAGAGAGAAAGAGAGAAAGAGAGAAAGAGAGAAAGAGAGAAAGAGAGAAAGAGAGAAAGAGAGAAAGAGAGAAAGAGAGGAGAAGCGAAAAGTCAAGAAAGGAAAAGGGCAAATATTACACCGTTGACCTTGTCACATCCGAAACTCCGCCATGACGTGGCCGAGTGGCCGGGATGCCGTAGGCCGGAGCCACAGCCCGCGCGAAGTGGGCGCCCGCAACGGCACCCAGGATGGAGGACTGACCGGTGGCAACGCGCCGTGATGAACGGAAGAACCCCAGCCATTCCGAATCTCTCGTTCTTTTAAGCGCAAAAAACTCGCGTGCAAGGAGACATCAGCCGCCTGGTGCATTCTGGTGCATTCTGGTGCATTCTGGTGCATTCTGGTGCATTCTGGTGCATTCTGGTGCATTCTGGTGCATTCTGGTGCATTCTGGTGCATTCTGGTGCATTCTGGTGCATTCTGGTGCATTCTGGTACATCCTGGTACATCCTGGTGCATTGAATTTAGTTGAATTCGAGGCCGCATTAGCGAGTCGTGCATAAGTGACTGCCAGCTGTTTCATACTGGGTGTAACCGGGCAGTGAGACACCACGCTCCACGGGCGGGCGTGTCCAGAAGGTGCCATACTCAGACCTTGGTGCAAGTTCAGCCCTTTGCCAACTCGTGCACCGCCCTTGTCATGCCAAAATGCTGCTCATTTTCTAATGAAGGAGCTATTGTCCGTAGTCAACATCCTGCACAGAGTCCCTGAATGTTTGTGGCGTCTTCAATCATCAAATGGGTCGATAAGTTGATAAACAGTCCGGTCAACCCAAGCAACCAGCTGTCTCCATGTGCTTTGACTGCATGCACCTCATGCGTGAATTGACCTTTGGCTGTGACTCGAAGTCCGGCAGCGTTGATCCCGCCATGCTCAAAGTGCGGCTCCTGCACGTAAGGCTCTCCATTCTTGTGCAGTCACAGTGAGACAAAAGCGCCCGGCGGTGCGCTGAAAGGCAACATGGCAAGAGAGCACGCATTACGTCAAAGCTTGACTGGCAACATCGCCATTGGTAGCATTTGGTGTGTCTGGACACAGGACAGTCGCCGATCACAAGCTGGCAAAATGCAACGAGCCCATTCAAAGCGCCTGCCCAACAGCTTGGCTGTGCACATGCTGCTGGAAGTACCTGGCTGCACTCGCAGACATGTGCTACCAGTAACTCACAGCAACACTCAAAGCTCCAGAAATCCGCAAATCGCTCGAAGTGGCTCACTGTTCAGGCTGTCAGGCCGAAAGTTGTGGCAGCAGCTCTCAGTGAGGGGCTGCTTCTGCGGTATCGCAATGGCAACGCAAGAGAGCGGTTTCATTCGGCAACTTTCACAACAAATGCAGACTACAGTGTACCTGTCCACATGCGCCTTGCCTCACCGTGGCCAGAAAAGCGCGGCCCTTTCGCTCAATCGGTGAACCAGGTGTCTCACAATGGGCCTCTTACACAGAGCTCGGGGAGTACAAGGCCTTCACAAAAGTTGTGCTTTGAATGAGACACCTAAAGTGAGAGTTGGGAAAGGCAAGTGCTGAAATTACGACATCTCGTACTCCAGGTTCTCCTCGTTCACTGTCAGTTTTGTTGCAGGGAATGGAATATGTAGGCAAAGAGCTTGGAAAAGCCACGAAAGCAAGTACTTGTATACCTCAAATGACATGCTTTGTTTCATGTCTTCACTGTTCCGTTCCCTATCTTCAATCAAGAATGGAATGCTTTGTGGGTGAGATGGATGATGGAGATTTCTAGTTGCCACATGTAAGTTGTGATTCTGGAGCCATCTCATCCCCTTCTCCATCTGTGCGACATTCTGCCAATTGACCAACCTAACTGTCCTAGGCACATACTGCCGGACAGCCTTATGGATTGAAGTCCCAATGCGGAACTGTGTTGAACTGCCCTGAACCCACGGCTTGTAACATGCCTGTGCCCAAATGTTAAGAGACCACCTTCAATCAGCACGCAAGAAAGGCGAGTTGGACAAAGTCGACCGCAAAACACTCACATTTGGTGTGGTTGCTGGAATGCCCAGGAGGTAATTTGCTGGAGTCACAATTTGTTTGTCCGTCCAGGTTTCTTCCTTGTTTCCGTCCCCGTTTCACCTGTTCAATCCTGACTGTTCCCTTGATATTTCAAGAGGTTCACAAAGTCTGGAGCAAATTTCAGGGAAAAAATAAGAAGAAGAAAAAATAAGAAGAAGAAGAAGAAGAAGAAGAAGAAGAAAAACGAGGAAAAACAAAGAAGAAGCAAAAAAAAGAAGAAAACAAATAAAAAGAAAAAAACGAAACGGCCGTAGTCTGTTCGGCGTGTCGTTTTTGAGGATATCTTCTCAGGGTTAAGGAAGCCCCAAGTCACAGGTTGCTATTCAGGAAATCCCGCCTTTTCCACGGATTTTGAGACCTCCAACCAGCCGCTTTGCTACCGCGCGCAGACCGGGCCTCCATGGGACCTTGTAGAATCTCCACCTGGGCCAAAGCTACATGATTCCGCAAGAACTGGTACAAATCACCGCGTGGGTGCGGTTTTAAGGGTACCCTGGTCTTCCTTGCTTGTTGGGAAACCAAAAGGAAAATCACCATTTTGTTGGGGGGGTGTCCAGATCGCTCATCCGAACTTTACCATCCAGACATCCAAGCGAAGCAGGCTGTGCAAGCCGCCTCGTGATTGTCGATGACGCACTTCTTATCGCCTCAGTCTTTCCAAAACACATGAAATCGGAGGAGGGGTCAGCAGGAGTCGACACAACTCCGCGCAAGGGCAAGCCGTCCAACTGTTGCAAATAGGAAAGCACCCCCCAAAGAAAAACGAAACACTGGAAGGGTTCTTAGAACCTAAGGTTCTAAAAGCTTCGCAAAGCCAGGTCCCAGTTTCTCTCAAAGGGATTCTGCCTCCCCCAAGGGCACTTGAGCCGCGGGCACTGCTCGCTGCAGCCCGCGCAGAAGGTCTGGCAAACAACTCGCGTTGCGTCAAATTCCGTTTGTCTGAAATCGGAAGCTCCAAAAAAACGTGGTCGCCCGGTGGGTGTCCAACCAAAACCCCAAATAGGTACGCCTCACAGAAAGGCATAACGCTTGCGAGTTGGGATGGACCGAACCCTGGTTGATGGACCTGAACGGTGCGACGCGGATTTTGTTCCCAGGAATCCTTCTGACATTGCAGGGTCCGTCACCAGATCTATCGACTATACGCCCCAAGTAATCAGTGCTGATCTTGGCGCAGGGGTTAGGCACTTGAGTCTTGCATCATGTGCCGCCGTTGAATGACTAACGTACCAGCCTCCAATTCATGCCATCGCTTCAAAAGCTCAGACATGCTTTGCTAGGTCCTCACTTGGGGACTATGCTTGCCGAATTGTCTTGACACCTCTGTCTGCCCACGCCTTGCGCGGACTAGCTGGGAAACAGTGTGAAGTGACAGTATTACTGGACGTAGTCATGTCCTGCTTGCTCGTGCCAGCATTTTCTTGCCTTCTGTCCATCTAGCTACACAGGTGAGCCCAGTGGCGGCAAGTCGGCACCGTGGAGGTGAAATTGACGTGAAATCTGACCGCCCAGAATGGGCATGTCACAACTGAATGGAAGGTCTGGGTCGTGCCTGCAGCTTCCCCTTCTCGTTGGGAAGTGCTTTTCCGGCAACCTAACAGCTAGTAAGAAGCTAGACAGAGAGACAGAGAGAGAGAGACAGAGAGAGGCAGAGAGAGACAGAGAGAGACAGAGAGAGACAGAGAGAGACAGAGAGAGACAGAGAGAGAGAGAGAGAGAGAGAGAGCGAGAAAGAGAGAGCGGGAGAGAGAGCGAGACAAAGAGAGAGAGAGTGAGAGAGAGAGAGAGAGTGTGTGAGAGTGGGAGTGTGTGTGAGAGTGGGAGTGTGTGGCCACGCAATGGCTGGATGTCCATCCGCTTAAGGCTAGTTGCAAAGGCAGAGCCTCCCTCGGAAAACTGGATCATCACGGGACGGTTCAGCTCCTCGCCGCTGTCAAAGTGAAGAGTTGGAGTACTATTCACAAAAACAATTTGCACGAGCTAGCTCTGCCTCGCCACGAGCACCGCGACAAGGTGCCGAGTTCCAATTGTTAGAGCTCTTTTCTGAAAGGGTCAGCAAACTCGTTAGAAGGGCATCAACTACTGGCCAAGGCATCGGACAGCAGTTGGTTGGAAGCACATCCGTCCTTGCCAGCTTCGAGCACGGAGTTGATGGTGCTGGAGCCTCTTGATCACGCGAAACAAAGGACACATCAACCACGCTGCTGACCTCAATCTACATTATCGCAATAGTACACACACACACACCAGTACACACACAAATGAGGTCTCAGCTCGTGCAATTGAATGCGGGGATAGCGTACTTGTGCTCCTGGCCGCACAGCTTTTTTGACCGGCAGAGTACAAAAGCGCATGCCTTGGCGTGCTGCAGCAGAGCCCACGCAAGGTCTCCGGTGATCACACCAGCCTAGCGAGCGAGCGAGCGAGCCAACAGTCACACCGGGTGCCCATGACTCAAACTTGCCTTCATGCCCGGAATGTCCCAGTACCTCAAATCGCAATCCCAACTTCCAACCTGCGCACAAATTTCAACACTCGGAAGATGTGCATCCAAGACACGACATGGCTGCAGGAGCGAAGCAACAAACCGATTCGCAAAAGAATGCTTGAGAGCCGAACCAGCTACAGACCAGACCAAAGCACATGCTTCATATGACATTTGCGTCCAAGTCACATGCTCTTGAATTGGAGACAAGTCAGCATAACGCAAAAAGCAACTACGAAAGCTTAAGTCTGCCAGCAGTGCCTCTTGCCGCTCGCGCTCCTGTCAGCACTCTCCCTGGTGCTTAAACGTGTCCTTCACGTGTCACTCTGCTCGCGGCATCAAGGTCAAACAACATTACTGGCATCATGAGCGGTTCGCAAGCTCACCTCAATGGCTGGCAATGGCTGGCTGGTTGCGCGATGACATGTTTGGCTTGCATGCTCCCCATACTCTCCAGAAGCGCAAAACTGTACCAAACAAACCAGGCTATGTTCAGAACGGTTTGTGAAAGGGATCTTGCACCTTCTCTTCCAAGATCCGCCGCAGCTCGGCCAGCTCGCTGTCTGCGTTGCCCTGGCATTTCGGCGTTCCTTCCGCCATGCGAGTCAATGGGTTTCTCATCTCTGGCCTGTGGGCAGATTCCTTTGGGTTTCCCTCTTGAAGCCTACCAAAGGGGCCCAAAGCATTAGGAACGAACCAAGGCATGTGGGGATGCGGGGAATTCGTTACAAGGGCGCCCCCTTCTGGAGATGTCCCTTCCAGACTTCAATCATACTGCCTGTGGTTTTGGCTGTGAGCAACGGGTCAAACCTGGATTGGGCTTGGGGACACCGGCCCCGGGTTTAACGTTGGCTGCGTTTGGGTGTCCCCGGTTTTGCCCAGTTATCACCAGGCTTGCAGCCTACTCACAAAGTGGGAAGGAACGATGGCGATCCCTTCTAACACCCGAGCCATGAAGCAAATCACGTGGCACAAGTGGAACTCCTGCGCTCTTACATCCTGCCTTGGCCCGCATCAAGGCGCGGAGCTCTGCAGCCTCCTGGCACAATTGCTTCCGCAGCGGGGCGGTGCCGAGCCGCGCCGCGGTGCCGCCGTGCCAAGCGCAGCCGGAGTCGCACTCTTCCAGCGCTTGAACGACTCCAAGTCGCCGACCTCGCCGCTTCCGCCAAAGGCACCGCGATTGATCGGACGTCTGGGGCATCCCACTGCTTCGTAAGCTGCGAGCCTGGGAATTTGGGCGAATTTGCAGGGGGCCCACAAAGAAGCACAGGGGCCGCGGCCGCTCGCGCAGGCTTTTGGCCTCCTCCTTTGCCCGAGCCTTGCGCGCTCGAATCCAAGCGCTCTTTAGCCTATTGACCGCTGGGCCGCGCGCCAATTCCTCGTCTCTCCGTCTCAGCTTCTCTTCGACCTCTCCGCAGTGCAGCTCTTGCAAGGTTTGCTATCAAGAGACAACTCACCTTGAGATTGGCCCAAAAAACAATGTAAATGTCTTTCAAGGACAACATAGCCACCCTCTGGCAGCTTGCCACGTGCCAGCAAGAAGTTGAACTCACACATCGTCTTGGAATGCTCCTATTGGTCGATGGAATTGCCCAAAAGCCGAGCCTCCTCCAGCCTTGAGGCCTTTGCACGCAGGTCCAGAAGCTCCTGAACTGCGTAGCGAATCACATTTTTTTGAACACTCACTTCTCATGCAGATGTGTCTTTTGATGCAACTCTTGCTGGGGTTGCTTTTGTTTGGCATAGGCCCCGGACCCCCCTGGGGGTGGTGGGTTCCCGATTCAGACATGAACCCTGTGCTGTCGAACTCATTCATGGCTTTCCTGTTTTTGTTTGAGACTGACCACGCATCGGTCCTTCTCCCCAGAGGTGTGTCCTTTCAGGAAGTCCCTCATGGCCTAAGAAACGCACCGGGCCACCCGATGCGCCCGGCGTCGTCAGCGAAACGAGCCCATGGCAGCCGCGCTGTCCAGGAGGTACTCCAGGCCCAGCTCTCTGAATGCCTCAGCCGTGAAACAGGCGTCCCTCGGTCGCCAACATGGTGGGTGCTGGCCAGTATCTTCCCCTCGCTTTTGAAGCCAAACACAAAGGAGATCAAAAGCATCTTGGGAGACAATTTTTGCTTTGACAAAGGAGCAGTCAAGCACATCATACGCATCCCAGTCCAGCAGTCCTCGGTGGTGCGCCTGAGGGTGGCACATCGCGTAGCTTGGCGTAGTTCCGCAGGAAGCCCTTGAGATTGTACGGATCCTAAAGACCACAAACCAGAGCACAACCAGCAACACACGCAGAGTCAGCTTTGCAAAAGAAAAAACAACTCCGGACTCGATGCCTCGAAGAGATCCGAGAAGCCAAACTCTTCGAAGGCTTTCCGCAATCCCTGCGCATTTCCCCCCTGCCCCGGCCACCAAAACCCCAAATATCGCCCTCCGAAAGCGCCTCATAGCGAGATAGGATCTCCGCCAGCAGCGCCGGATCCTGAAAGCTCGAAGCCAAGATCCGGACCGCGGTCGAACGCGGGGCCTTGAACGCGTCGCCCAGCCCGTGCTGCTCGAAAAGCTCACGCACCCTGGGTATGGTTTCGCTAGCGCCGACGGCAGGCACTCATCCTGGCTCCCAGCTGCTTGAGTAGATCCAGGCTTTGCTTGAGTTCCTGGGCACCCGCTACCCATGCAAATCCTTGCCCGCGTTCGTGAAACGCGTTGCACTCCGTGTTGAAACTGAAGCTCTGCTCAAAGAGTTGTAGAAACAAGACTTCCTCCTGGCAGCATCCTGTTTTCATCTTTGAATTGAAGAAGACATGGTGCACCGACGGGCAATTTCTAGTACCGACCAAGACTGCGCACTCCGTTTTGAATGTGTTGCGGTTTGCCCTGTTCAGCCCGGAGTCGATCTTTTTCAACGAGTGCCAATGGCGACTTCGCGTAGTCATACGCTGTTGCACTGCCAAACGACTCGAAACAGGAGCTCAAACCAATGGGAACCATGAGACCCAAAGATAAAGGAACCCTAGAGGGTGAAAGAGTCTGGGATGGTCTTTACCCTCTGCAAATTCTGCCGTGTCAGCAGGAAAGCAGTCATTCTCCATAGGCCGAACCAAGGACCAGCCAAAGAATCCAGGAACCACGAAGTCACGCCTCCAGCTTGGAGGGGTCATTGAAGACGTCTCCAAATCCAGCTGCCTCTCCGAACGAACGCGCGACCCTTCGAAGTGACCACCGCTTGCCCGACCTGGCAACCAGGATACGTCTCGCGGAAAAAGCACAGGGCGCAAGGGGGTTGCGGTGTCCTTACTTCTACAAATGGACTTCAGCGACGTGCCGACGCGCCGACGCGCCTCCAGCATTTCTTTCAGCTGCTTGGCTGAGCTGAGAAACTGTTTCAGCTCCTGCGACAAAGAACCATGGTTGAACAACTGCGTCTGACTGAGTGCAGCTGATATCTAATCAAATGCTGCTGAGGACGACCGTGCTCAAAGAATTAGCCTGTAAGCAATCACATTGAAACAACCGCGGCTCGCAGCTAAGTGGCGGTTTTGTCTGATTTCAGGGTGGCCTCCTCGGTTCGCCCGGTCCTCTGGGTTGTGCAGCAAGTGCTCCAACCCAAGGTCTGCAAATGCCTCGGCTCAGAGAGTCGCATTTACCCCGGGGCTTAGACCAAGGAACGCATCCCTGGCGACAACGAAAAGCACAACCTGCAGTACCGCAACTGGATTTGACCGAGAGGAACAACCCGTAGGAAGCCTGGGGCCAACGGCTTTTGCTATGAGACACAAGTACTTGGCAAGGTTCCAATAATTAAGCCAAACGGCTGCGAGCTGTGTAGGAAACAAATGTGGTCTAACGATGTGTGGGTCAGCCCCTTGAGCCCCCCGTTTTGAAACACCGGGTGCAGCTTTAGTCATACCAAAGCTCTGATTTCTGTCCAGCCACTGAGAACCCATACGCGAAAGGCCCCGCTGAGTATAAACTGACCCCAGAAGCACCCGAGGCCAATTTTTTACAGGGGACTTGTCAGGCCCCTAATGCTCAAACTGCCTCTGCACCCAAAAACCCACGATGGGCAAAATCCACGCTATTGTGTTTTGTCGTGGGGGGGTGCTGTTTAAGTTTGCAGGCAAATTATAACGACAATAAGATACCAAGAAACCTTGACTTTGGACGTAGAAAAGCCCCCCGAAACATGACGACGTGACGTCGCAGTTTAGTTCAGACTCAGATTTCCTACCCACATGGTCAACCAAGACACCGCATTCGCCACCATTCGGTTGCTTTAAATCAATGTCTATTCAAATCGACGAACTTGGTTCATTCGAAGTCTGGGGAGTCCCACTACCCATGAACTCATTTTGCATAGCATACCTTGCCCCCACAAAGTGGGTGTCAAAATGGGATCTGAACCGCCAACATGGGTTGGGTGTGCTTTTGGTGTCCCTTTCACCGGAGCCTCAACACCCTCCTTGTGGCCCTCCGGGCGCCTCCAGCACCCGTCGCAGCTCCTCCGGATTTTCGAGGAAGTGCTCCAGGCCCAAGTCTTTGAAGATCTGCGGTGAGGCGAAACGAGGGGCCTCACCTTCTCCGCTTTGGACTGCGTATGAAATTGTGGGGGGGGGAAGGGGAGGGAAGGGGGGGAAAGGGGAGGGAAGGGGGGGGAAAGGGGAGGGAAGGGGGGGAAGAGGGGGAAGGGGGGGAAGGGTTGCAACCCTTCCCCTAAAGAGAAAAGGCAACTGCTTTCTTGGGCCGTGGTCGGTTTACCTCAATCACACTAATGGGCGGTTGAAGAAAGCGCGCGAGAGACAATCCATTCGTTGCTAGGTAATTTATGCATTCAACTGCAAGCTCTCTTCTATCACCGGAGCTTTTCTGGGGAAATGGGTGAGTCATCTTGACATCTTGACTGGAAAAGCCAGTGTCTCCGCAATCAAACAAACCGATCTGTGGGTCCCTCTGTCTCCATGGCCACCGACCACTTCCGCCTTTTCAAAAGACAGCGCCCTGCGAAGGAAGGCGGCCAAGGCCTGCAGGTGGCTCTGTAGTCAAACATCTATATATATATATATGGCTGTGGGTCCAAATGGTTACCCAAATTGGAACCCTGGCAACTCTTTCATTTTGAGCCACACCCATATTTTTTCCAGCGGATGCGAGCAGTTTCAAAAAAAACTCTTGGACGGTTGACCATCGGTGTTTGACCATACGCAGCAAACACTGGGGTGTATTGACCCTCAAGCCACAACCTCCACAACCTCCGCTCTTCTCCCCGCGCCCGTGCAAGTGTTCCAGAAACACTCCAAAACCCCGCAGAGGCCACTTGCATCCTGTCTTCGGAAAATGTCGCCCTCACTTCATGAGGCGCGGACGTCTGGGTCCTCCATGAGCTTTCCCAGCCCCAGATCCTCGAAGAGCTTCCGGAGGCCCTCGAGCTCTTCCTGAGCCCCGGCCAGGTTCGCGATATGAAAATCGGAAAGGCCCCTGTTTGATGGATACTTCAAGGGAAGCTAGGGAAAGCCGAGCATTTTAGGGGACCATTCTTCAAAACGCCCACCTGCATGGCACATGGGGTGCCCCTTTGAGAGTCAAAAGCAAATCAACACCATGTGGGGCGAAATCCATGGCAAACCCGCGGCTGCTGTTTGGCTTCTCTTGGCCAAGGGGGTTGAATTTTTGAGTGTTCTGGGGGTTGCCCCGAAATTAGCAGTGAATCCCGCTGGCGTGGAAGTTCAGCAAAGTCCTTCTCATGCCGAGCCCGTAAATTTGTGCTACTACAAACCTCCACTGGCACAGAATCAAAAAAGTGAGAGAAACCGAAAGCAATTCTTGCCGCACCACTTCTTGCGTTTGGTATTGTTCGCAACAGGGACAAAACTTGGACCCACACAAATTGAATGGACCAAATCCTGCACCAGGCAACTGGGGTTATCCCTGACCAGGTTTGATCCATCCTTGCTGGTAGTCCAGTATTAAGCTCCCGGGTCCCACTCCCATGGAAATTGTCCTACGCCAGCTTTTGGATTCACCCCGTCAAAGCCAGAAAATCGGAGCCATGGCACCATGCTTTTGGTTCAGTACAACGACGCCGGAGCATCCCCCCAGCCCCCCTCAGCCCCCCAACCCCCCAACCCTCCAACCAGCCCCCCAGCCCCCCTCAGCCCCCCAGCCAGCCAGCCCCGCGATTCGATCCGCGCTCCTCCAGGGTCTTGCACCTGGCATCCAGCTCTTCCGCCCGCGCCTTGGAGCTGGCCAGGTCTGTCGCCAAGGCCTACGTTGAAGCTCCCAACTTCTGCTCGAACGGGGCACCATTTTGGCGCTTTGGGCGGCCGGGACGTCTTTGAGATATGAAGCTTGGGAATTGATGTCTGCTTCCCCCTATTAAAGTCCAGGGCGGCATGTCAAAGCCCTTTTCAATTGAAGCCTTTGGGCCTGCTGTGTACATGGTATGAAAGCGATACTGCTTTCTTGTTGGTTGACTGCCAATACCAGTCAAGGGGCATTCAACTTCCGCTCAATCTATAGTACCTTTGTGTACCCTTACCTCTACCTTTTGTGGCGTCATCCCAATCGTAACCTGTGTCTACCCCCCAACCACCGCGCCGCAGCGAAATTGGGAGGCGCATGGTGCCACCGATTGGTTGCGGCCCGTGTTTAGGCAAGACTTTTAGGCTTGATGCTGGGGATGTTGTTATCGCTGTTGCTTTGCTATAGTTGTTTCACTGCATTATGTGTCATGTGCGTTGCGTCATTACATATTGCTTTGTTTCAGTATCGTTAGTTCTTTGAATTACTTCATTATCAGCGTCATTCCCTATCCTGGCGTGAAACCTTGTCACGTGGCCCCTGCGCGCGCGCTGCTTGCATCGCGGATCAGCTTGCAAAGGCGCTGCTCGGCGTTCGTTGTCTTGCGCGCAGCTCAAACCCTTGAGAAGCAAGGGCTAGAGTCTATGAAATGTAAAGTATAGTCGGGGACTGATGTTCGGAACTGCCCACCAGGCCTCGAGCTGGTTTCTGTACTCCTCCGCCGAAACAGAAAGCTGATCCTCAGCCCGATTCTTCTTGTTGTGACCTGTCTGGATACAAAAACCAATGACTCCGGAACCAATTTGTTTGGGTGCGTTAGAGACCCTGCACAATGCCGAGCATGGAACTTCCAGCATGGAGCTGCGCTTGGCGATATCCTCCAAGCGCTTGGCCCGAACCTCAGGATGGGTTCTCAACATGGGTTTCCCTTATTGTTCCCGGAATTCCCAGGAAGCCATGTTTTTTAGCGATTCGATTCGGCGATCAGAAGAGAGACGCGCCTCCTCCTCCTCTTCAAAGAGCCGATTCGCAGCTTTCAGCTCGTCGATGGATGGCACCTCGCCGCGGATGGTGTGGCGCCAGACTTTCAGCTTCTTGTCGCCGATGGAGGTGGACCATACGATCTTGGTCTCGACCCGGTCAACGGTCAGAAGGTTGGAAACGTAGGGCTCATGAGCAGGATGCTCCGCGGTCTTGAAGAAATCCGCTTGAGAGAAGACCTGGATGTTGGGATGGTGCCCACAGGTCCAGACATCGTATCCAAGGGGAACGACTGCGTAAGCGCCTTTGTCAAAGCCCTCCGGGGCAATCTGGCGCACGCACTGGCGCTCAGGCCCGCCCAGAGTCCATTCCCGAATAAAGCCATCAGAGCCGGAAGACCAAATGAAGGAGCGCACAACCGCCATTTTCAACACCGAGCCGGCATGCGCCTTTTCAACCACCTCGTTGCAGGTGCCAGTGGCCGTGCACCACAAGCGAATGGTTCCATCATCTGCACCGGACCACAGCGTTGGGCCAATTCGAATCATGCACCGCACACCGTTCTTGTGCCCGTGCATCTGCAAGCCCTTCAGGATTCCAACCTTGAACTTGCCCATGTCCACTATAAATGCATCCTTCAGCGGAGGAGCCCCGGCTTTGGAATGCCAAGTTTCAATGGTCCATTGTCGGATGGTGAAGTCGTTGCTCCCACTCCATGCGCGCCTCCGAGGAATCTGACCCTCGGTCGCCACCTCTGCTGCATCCCCGGAGGCAAGACAGGTCACGCCGCCTGTGTGCCCGCCGGTCAAACAGCCCTTGAACTCTTTTCGCTTCGTGTCAAAAAGAGAAATACCCATGGCCTCTTGCCCCATCCACATCAGGTGAGGCTCCATGTGGAGCATACTCCAAACAAACCGATTGGTCGGAATCTCAGACCGCACCTTTGTTGCATCATCCCGCTCGCGCACAGTCACATTGCCTGCCCAATCCACTGTCCACACTTCCTTACCAATGCAAATCGCATTGCGAATTGCTAAGCCCATCTCCAAAGTTTGCACACATCGCATGCCTTCCTCGTCCACCTTCGCATTGGCAACTCTCGGGGTCGTCTGCTTCGGATGGTCTGGCTGGAGTGCCACGGATGTAGTACTGGGCCTCTGCGGAGTTGCTGTGCGCGCGGGCTGACTTGTCACGGTTGCGGACTTCTTTGGCTGTTGCTCTTTCTTCTTCGGTTTGGCCTTCGGCTTTTTCTTCCCTTTCTTGGCCTCCTTCTTTGGCTGTTCAGCCTCTCCCGAGGCTTCCGGAGAAGTTTCAGGCGCAGCAGGCTCGGGCTCTGCAGGCTCCTCAAAGCCATGCTCAGGCTCTGCAGGCTCTGCAGGCTCTGCAGGCTCTGCAGGCTCTGCATGCTCTGCAGGCTCTGCAGGCTCTGCAGGCTCTTCGGGCACAGGCTCAGGCTTGTCGGTCAGTTCAGCTCCGGGCTTGCCCGACTCCTCAGCTTCGGCACTTTTGGTTTCGGGTTCAGGACTTCCCGGCCCAAGCAAAAGGGTGGTCTCCAAACTTGGCTCTGGAGTCCCCCCTTGAGCTTCGCCGGGTTTGCGACTCGCATCAGCCTTGCCAACCTTGTTCTCATGTCCGTCTTGGTCGCTATCTGAATCAATGTCGTCTTCATCGTCATCTTCTTCCTCACTATCTGGGTCCTCTGGGTCATCTGGGTCATCTGGATCATCTGGGTCATCTGGCTCTTCCTCCTCATCTGTGACATCATTGGGTTCATCCTCACTTTCTGCTTCATCGGCCTCCTGTTCAAGCACCTCCGGAGCACGCTCCTCACTCTCCTTCTCAACAGCTGAGAGTCTCGTCAGCGTGCCTTCCAACTGGTTGGCGGCCCGCTGGAGAGTAGCAGTCAATTCAGGGGCCACCTCCACCTTCGCCTCCGCTTTTTCCTTCGCCTTGCGGGCAAACACGCGGGCCCGGGGCGGAGCACGGGTCTCTTGCCCCTGCACCTCGGCCTGCTTCTTGAGATCCTCCAATCGGTGGCTGTAATCTTTCTGCAGGGTGGAGAAGTAGTCGACCATCTGCTCCAGAACCTGAGTGCGAGTCTCCAGGTTATCCACGGTCGCAGTTTCCACACCCTCAGCATCGTTGAACGACTGACGTATTTGGAGGTCCTGCTGAACTTGTCCCAGCGCTGTGGCAAGTTTTCGGGTGCCCAGAAGTCCTCGAATCTGGTTGATCTCCTGCTCAAACTCGTTCCGGTCTATTCTCAGATCATGGTTTTCGTCTATTCTGCCAAAAGCTTCGTCAGGAGCTGCAGTATAATCTTCTGACAGTTGTGCTAGAAATTTTGCTGTGCTTCTAAAATCAGCGAGTCCAATAGTGTCTTGGCCGTTAGCCAATACTTCGAACACCTGATTCGTGAGATCCGCTACATTGGCAGCATCCAAAGAACCGCTTTCGCCCAGGCTTCTCGGCGTGGGCTGCACTGACATTAGCTCTGGACAGGTGATATCCTGCCAGTTGCATATGCACCTAACAAGAAGATGTACACTCTACTATTGAATATGCCACATCCAGGGTAGGTGGCAGGACAATTCCTTCAACAAACGAGGTGCAGTTCAGAAATACAGCAGCCCAATGATTCTGTGTTCAATGATGTGTTACTGCATGTCACGCAGCTGCGAGTGGAATGCGGCAACGGCTTTCCTTCCAACTTTGGTGAACCAATGCATTCACATTCCGTGCCCGCTGTGCAGAAGCCAACGCGTACCAGATCACAATGCCAACATATTAAGACTCATTGCGAGGCAAAGGTACTTGCAGCTTTGCAATTTCGATCTCTTGATAGCAAGAGTCTAAGTCTCGGATCTTCGATTGCCAGATGACCTGTTGGAACAATGTTTGTGGAAAGGCCTGGCAAAGGCTCGGCATTTGTGAGCTTTCGGGTCATCAGGCAGGCGGCTGCATAACTGCAGCTGCAACATTAACTCACATGTAAGCTACATGTACAGCATCGTTTGCGGCTGGCCGTTTAGCCAACTGGTGAGGAAAATGCAAACCAAGCATTTCACTTGGGATGGCTTCAGCTGAGCTTTGAAACCAAGAGCGGGTAAAACTGTGGCCTACCTAGTCTTAACGAAGATGTGACATGTGATAACCTTGTTCACTGTGCTTCAGCATGCCGGGACGTGGCAATTCTCCAGCTCACACTGCGGTGTTCGGCGTTGCAGGCACTGCAGGCGTTGCCGGGGCACTGTCCCTCAACCTGCAATGGGGGGCCAAGGCGGAGGGTCCCAGGCATGCCAGGCATCGCGCCTGGTCAAAGCGCCTTGCCAAGTCTTCTTGGCGACTTGCCGCTTCTTGCCGGTGGATGCCTGAGCCAACATGACACATACGACTTCTAGGGATGCATTCGTCTCGGCCTCGTCGACGATCAAGGCTGCAGTCTCACGGTTCTGATCCAGGAATGGCTTCAGCCTAAGCAAAGTTCCATGATTGTGGACTTGAAATCCCAAGAACTGCTGGGAGCGTTGCTCCCCCAAGTCTGGGAAGATGCGGAAAACCGAACCTTAGAGCTAGCAAATGGTGATGCTGCTGCATCACTGGCAGTTGATGCACTGAACAGCAAGCTAGGCTGCTTGAAATTCAAGCAAACCCAGCCGCAAAATATGTTCAGCTGCGACCGCGACTGGTGAAGGGAATGATGACAAAGTCAATGAAGCCCAACAGGGACCTGAGCCAATAGGCGCAGCCCGAAAACGTCCCGGACTGCTCCATCAGGCCCTCAGGCTGTGAGCGCCTGGCTTGGCGGCCACTTGTGGCTCCTGCAAGCCCGACATGAAGGTGGTGACCTCGCGGACTCCCAGCGGCCTCTTGTCATCGGGCGTTGGGCCCAAAATCAGACCGCGTTATCCGCAGCACCTAAAGTTCTGTTGCTCTCAACTTTGGTTGCCAGATGCAAGCAAATGGGGACCTTTGAGACAGCTGCAAATCGAGCACAGACCTGAGCTTTGAGGTCTGTGCTGGTAAGCCCATCTCCGCTTCCTTCTCCACCTGCCAAAGCATCCGCTGCCAAGCATGCCATGATGAATCAAGCATGCCTGAAGCGTAAACTCCTCGTTCAGACAAGCACACCACCTGCAGCCAAAAAAAAAAAACACGCGACCCATCGCAAGGCAAACCCTGCAACATGCGGCAGTTCCGCCGTTCACGGCATCTGTGCCCCGTGCTTCTGGGATTGATCCGCAGGCATCAGCGGATTGCTGATATCTGCCTCCAGCGCTGAAAAATTGGTTGGCTGTCGAGCGACAAGAAAATGGAGGAGCTGGGCGAGCTGCCGCATGCATGACGACCTCCACCAAAAACTGGTTCTGCGAGTCTGAAGCTTCTCCCCTGAGACCCGCCAAATTTTGCAAGCCGTCTATTCAGAGAACACCACGTTGAGCGCAACTCGTGGCAACGGAAACGCCCTGCCATGTTCTGGGAGCCGGACAGTTCAAACTCCTTGAGGATGCTGACCTCTGTCCAATGGTGCATCCAACTGAACGCTGTGTTGACACTCAGGCAGCCACGTGCGATCCATGGTGCTTCATGTCCGTGGAAAGGATGCCTGCAGCAGGATCCAAGTTGACGGCCGTCTCCTTTCCATTCGAAAAAAACAGAACGCGCCTGCAATCATCCGCTTGCGGATCAAGCTGTAGACTTCTGTGCTGAAATCCTGAAAACCAAAGTCCCTAAATCAAGATTCCCCAAGAGTCCAAAGCAGCAGTGTGAACTGATGGCTGAAGACCTGCCTGGAAAATGTTGCACCCCTCCTTGCTCAAGGCGATCTCAAACGCCCTGAAGGGAGCATGGCTCAAGCCCGGAAACTTGGCACGTGCGAGCCACGGAACTTGGCACCGGCAACTCCGAACCAAATCGGCATAAACGAAGCGCAGATTACATGTTGACATGGGCTGCGCGACTCGCTGATCTTTGACCAATTGGGCTGTTCACCTGGAAGGCTTGCCTTGCGCAGTGGTGGTTCTCCAAGGGAGAAGCGTCATTGTACCGAAGCCTTGGCAGAAGCCAAGGCCAATATGTGCCACAGCCATGGTTTCCTGGTAGAACGTTTGTATTGGTTGACTCAAATCCTTTTCAGGCCTTGATGAGCATCCCATTGTTTGCTGTTTGGCCGCTTCACACGTGAGTACAGCGAGGACTTGGCAAGCCATCGACTAGTTCGCTGCACGTCTGAGGAAAGCGAGCCCGAGGGAGACACGCAAGTTCGCTGCGCGTCATGATCTCGAAGGCGTTGTTGTACCTAGAGCGCATCAGCCTCCCAGGTTGGCCGCTCCTAGCTCTTTTGCCGAGACACCCTCGATGATCGCAGTCATGACAAAGAGCACCAATCTCAGCGCCAGGGGGAGAGAGCTGAAAAGCATGCACTCTGATCAGGAGACAGACGATGAGTGCGTAAAGCTCTGCGTGGCAAAGGTGTTCTGCCACGTTCGCCACCTACACTCTGCTGAGTATGAGCATGAGTTGAATGTCGGGGCAAATTACCTGGGGATGCCTCCATGCATGCTTGTCATAGAAGTTGAATGCGCAAGTAAGCCAACAAAAAGCCGAAACAAGTTTTGCGAATTCTTCTCAGAGAAACGTATGCTTCCCAACAACCTTAGCCAAGTCAAGACCCAAACAGGGTGTGATCCTCCACTGGGAGCCTGAGTTGGGCTTTCTAACCCAAGACATCAAAGGGCGCAGCCGATTTTCAGGCCCCTTCGAAGTCTCCCAATCGGTTTAATTATGGCTGCAATTGAACCAGATTCACTGATGCTGTGAGCGGTTGCCACTGGGAACCTTAGTTTGTTTCTGCACCTATGGTCAAGGGCAAAGAACCCCCTCTAGAACCCAATCCCAATGGGGGCTAGTGGCTAACAGGGCCTAGACTGGTTCCCCATGGGGAGGGCCCTTACCCTTGGCTCACCATTCATCCCTACGACCATTGTGAATGCTGGGGTGAGGCCTGCGGGCCTCGAAGCAATCACTTCGAATGCGTCCAGTCCCCGTGTAACTTCTGTTCCGACAAACACAACGGACCTTTTCCCACCAAGTGCAGCTCATTGCCACTCACTCACATTTATCACGCAATGCCCGCCATTTTAGCCTGTTGCTTGTAGGGTGCTACAATACTTTGTGAGTGTAACGAGCTGTAGCCCGTTTGCGAAAAGGCGTGGGCCCCCTGAAACGACTCACAGGAAGCAAAACACACTTTGCTTGTCTCAAGCACGAATCGCTCGCTCGTGGCTGACATCAACAGCTCACCACGTAGCTGATCAGCGGCTGCCTTCGCCATCTTGGATGCAAAGTGCACTGTAGACAGGGCGTGCTGGAAGTTATGAAACCTGGGAGGCACAGGTTTGACATTCTTAGAGGACCAAATGATGAGCTTGTCTGAGTTTCGGCGGAACTGCTCTGTAGTTCTTCTTGATTGCCTGCACCGGAAAAGCGGCAAGGTTTCAAAAGGGCGCTCAGTCAGGATTGCTTTGCCTGAAAGAAGCCGAAGAGCACACCTCAGCTTGAGAACAGAACCAATCCGCCTGGCATGAAGCTAAGGTGATGGCCACGCTCAATAGCAATGTGATCAAAGATGTCCAGCCTGAGTCTTTGCAGGGAGTCTGACCGAGGAAAGTGCCGTGGTTCGATCATCTTTCGCTGCTCCATCGTAGCTGTTCTCAAGAAGTTTGAGAGGTGATCACACTGGGCGTGAGGCTGACGTAGAGCTGTAACCAACAACGTGAACTCATCGTGAGGGGTCAGGCCCTGAAAAGTGGCAAGTTGCCTACTCTCTCCCTCTCTCCCTCTCTCCCTCTCTCCCTCCCTCCCTCCCTCCCTCCCTCCCTCCCTCCCTCCCTCCCCCTCGCTTGAGTTTCTGTGTGAAGCAGCATGAGAAAGAATCAAAGGTGCAAAACAACTCGGGCCCTCACCCAGTAGTCAATGCCCCACTGCGTGACGTCAGCATAGGAGGCTGCAGTCAGGCTCCTGACGAGGACTCAAACGCATCAAATGATTCAAACCTACAGCCGGACCAAGAGAGTGCGGTGCAACAGGCGGTTGTGTACGCCGCAAAAACCTTTTCCTAGAGCCGTAGACTTCTACCTTGCGTTCTGGGTGTGCGCGTAAAACGCTGCCGTTGGATGTTGCCCGCTGCGAAGTGCCTGAATCCACAGTGCGATATATCTAGGCAAGCTGCGACTGGCAACTTTCTTTCGCCAAACACGGGGCTCCATTGTTCTTGCCCCTGCGTTGGCCACCTGCGTTGGCCATGGTGTTTGCCGCGTTGCTTCAATTTTCTGTGAGAAGCAAAGCGTAGCTTGTCGCATGAAGAACCGATTGACGGCTGCCAACCATGGCGAAGCCATACCTTGCGAACTTTGCAAAAGCACGCACAGTTTACAATTACTTTACTTCCAGCAATCTCCACTTGCTTCGCTAAACCAGACCGCAGCCACGCGGCACAAGGTCGAAGCAAGGCAGCGTTGGCCCTAATCAATAGAAGCCTCCTGTTTGGTGGGGATTCCCTTCATCCAGGGCGCTCTGATTCTTTGAGGACCAGTCAAGGTGTTGCGAGGACGCATCTGCAGACCGAAGATTCCAATGGGCCGATCGCAGCTGAAAAGTGGGTCTCCGCGTCCACTAGTCCGTTTCATCTTGGGCGCTTGACCGCCCATCTCTTGGCGGCTTACACAAATCTCCGGCACTTTGACCAAATTGCATGCCTCGGCTTCCTTTCAGCCTGGGGATTTAAACAAACACGTGAAACGAATAGAAAGCACAAGGCTATAAGCAAACCTTGTACCAGTCTGTGCGTTGAGAATACAAGCACGGTCCTGATGCTTTCTCGATCGTCGGTGGAAATCTGAGGCGAATCAGGGTTTGTCACCCACACTCTCTCTCTCGGTGGAATCTGAGGCGAATCAGGGTTTGTCACACACACTCTCTCTCTCGGTGGAATCTGAGGCGAATCAGGGTTTGTCACACACACACACACACACTTTCTCTCCCTCTCTCTCTCTCTCTCTCTCTCTCTCGCTCTCAAGCCCTGCTTTAAAGCATAGCCAAGACACGAAGGCCAGCGTATTCCGAGTGCCAAAGTCCATGGCCTTAGGAATTTATTCGAACAGTCGGGCCCTTACGCAAGCTCCGCTTCAGCAAAGCATGGAGACATATGAGGCGCTCTGCTTGCTGGGCCGCTGGGTTTCCAGCTGTCGGCACATGGCCCAGGAACTTGTGAACCGTAGTAACGCGGTTCTGCGTCCGAGGCTCCTTACAATCACCGGAAGCTTCAATCAATCACATGCCGGCATTCGCAACCACATGGTTGGAACTGGCAGGAACAACCTTCTGTGTCGGGCCCAGCAAATTCATCCGGCCTGAGACGAAGTTGTGCCCGCTCGTGGTCTTGATCTTGCATCCACGGCCTAAAGAACTGCTGCTCACAGCCATCTGGTCGGATGCAGTTGCTCTGGACACTGGCGGAGCCATTGCCGCAAAACCTGCATTGGCAGTGTGCCTCCACAGTGTAGTACTCGGAGACCAGCTCTTTGTCGTCCTTGACCATTGCACGTGGCATCGGAAAGGGAGAAGTGCTTTCATGACTAATGGTCCGTCCTTCAACATACCCTCGCCTTCGCCTTCATCACGCTCCAGCAGCGCCTCTGACGTTACTGAAAGAGATGCTGCACCGTGCGGTGCTCAATTCGCTCTGAATGCGGCCCTATCGCATGTGTACGGAAAAACCAAAAGGAAATCCACCATTTTGGGCGATGCACAAAAATACATCTCGCCCAAATCACTGGGAAAAGTCCGCCGCTGCCTTTGTCCACATGATGTCCAGGGACAGACGTTCCACATGGCTGCCAGCCTGGCAGCCAAGGACGGCCGACTCGAATGTCATGTCGCTCAAATTGGCGTCTTATTTGTGGCAAAATGGTTGGTGTCCTCTTGCTTTCCCTTGGAAACCACACAAAAAGCCGCACCCTCAAAAGAAGCAACAGACCCAAAGAGGGGCAAAAAGAAAAGGTTACTCAGAACTGGGCCACAAAGTGGGCCCCAAAGCTGTGACGCAAAGCTAAAATGAGCACAATGCTAAGCCGCTGACTGCGCTGGCAAGCCATGCCAAGAACTCTGCGTCCTGCTCGCTGAAGTCTGCGTTCACGTGGCCCTGTGCAACAGTCGGCTTTGGGCTTTGGGTCAACAACGGGTCCATGACGTTCTTTTCAGCTTGCCAGGCCCGCACTTTCGATGTCGCCAGACAGTTTAATAGGGAACTCCCTGAAAAACGTGGCTGGTGGACACAACGTGCCCGCCGTAGAGTCCCCAAGAAATCGGAGAAAAACACCTTTTGCAAACCTGACAGTGATTTCAAGCTCCAAGTGCCGGGCCCAGAAACTGAGTGCAGACAGAAGCATGCCCTGGCAAAGATGGCAGTGTCGCTCTCAAACTTCGGCAAGATTTTCACGTGCCGTACGCTTTCATTGTGCTGGCCGGTAAACCACACCGTTGTTCCACTTTCTACTTTGCCATCGCCCTTGCCGCGAGCCCTTTCCTCACTCATTTCCTAGTTGCAACTGCGACTCGCTTTGCACATCCCACAAGGTTGGCAGACCTGGGGGGCCCTGTCTGGCACAAGTCCGCGTCAACGCGCGGCACCAAAACGGGGTCGAAACTGAAAGCGCCCATCTTTTGACCCACAGATCACCACGCAGAATGGGCAACGAAGCGACCCCCCGCCTCATTGAAGTTTTTCACCTTGTCACCCGCCAGGATGAGGCCGAGAGGGCGTGCGTCCTTGACATTCCGTGGGACGCTGAAAAAAAACTGGAAACTCCCTGAGACCACCCCGGAAAAACTCTGGGAACATCCTGGTGACACGCTGGGAGAAACCCTAGGAACACCCTGGTTCCCCGGCGAAAAACCTGGGAACACCGTGAACACGCCCGCAAAACGAAGAGGGAAACCTGGAAAAAGACCGTGGGACAATGAAACAACCCTGAGACCACCCTGGGAAAACCCTGCGGGACTTGATTTAGCCGTCCTGCCCTGCACTCTTGATCGGCGCCACAAGGATCCCACAAGAATCTTCCATGCCCTCAGTAGCCGCGAGTCGCCAGGTTCTCTTTGGGGGGGGATGCAAAAGGAGCGAGTGCCAAGACTAGGCTTTCTGCGTCCCCAAAACCGATGATCCATTTAAGCAGTCCTAGCCTCGCAAGCTCAGCTCTCGGCAAATGGCATACCATCCCAGTGAGGGCATGACTTCATGTCCTGCAAGGCGACCCGCGTCGAGGCGACCAGCGCACAAAAACTGGGCGGCGCGCATTGTACACGAGGGTACTCTGAAACTCCGCCGGCTTCTCCTGACACAACTTTGAGTTCAGAGCGCCTCAATGGACTTCAGGAGAGCCTGCATCAGCTTCGCAATCTTGCCCGGCAGCCTGGGTCAAACCGATCCCCACCACAAAAACCATCAAGGGGACCCAATCAAGCCAGGCTGGCCCAATGTCCAGCACCATGCGATAAGGCTCTGGAACCGACTTGGTTGGAGGCGACCAAACCTGCTGAAGCCAGGTATTGAACCGGCGAGTTGCTGCGTTGTTTTGCGCTGAAGACGTGATTTGTCTTGGGTAACTCAGGTTGAGTAGAGCCAACTGCCTCGTCGCTGTCATTCTCGAAGAAAAACACCATGCACTTGTCCGACTGCGTCACTGCCTGCGTAGCTCGCTCCCCCCATTTAGAGTGCTTCGCTATGTTGATCCGGAGTTCAAAACCCCCTGCCTGATTCATTAGGAAGGGGATCCTTTTGACGTTAACCCCATACTTTACTCACCAACCAATTTGTTCATAGAAAGCGTCCCTTCATCCTTCCAGGGTCGGATCACATCCCCACAAAAATCCCTCACCGAGCCCACCTGCACCGCTTGCTCGATGGTTTGCACCAAATCCGCCGTGTTCGCGGCCATGCTGAGCTCCGAGACCAGGGACTGGCGTGGAGGCGGAGTTTCACCGCTCGCAAGGTGTGGCCATGGGTTAAAAAATTCAATCCTTCCCAGTGAACATCCCAATCCAACCACGAAAATCGGTTCAGGAATGGGTGGTGAATTCACCCGCAACATGAGATCCCCTTGGTTTCGACCAGCCGTGTGTCAAAATCGGGTAACCTCCACATAGAACCCGGGAAAATGGAAACAAAGATCAAATCCTTTGCTTTTGCTCCCCGGTGTGCCCCCCACCCCCCTGCCGCCACCCCCCCTCCCCGCGGCTCTCACCTGCATTCGCTCTGACGAATGCTTGTGCAGAATCAGCTCATGCAGCTTGGAGCGAGCCTGCATGGGGCAGGCAGATTCAAGCTTGGACGCGGCATAACAACATGGGCACTGGTCAAACCTAGGATCAAAATGTTTACGACCATCATGTGGGTAAAAGGCAAGGTTGGCAAGGTAGGCAATGTGTGGCCAAATGACACTCGCAGCCTGAAGGGCTGCTCTCAATGAGGACTTGCAAAGCCTGAAGCCATGCCATGCAACACCCACGTGCAGCGCATCATCTCTGAGACGTGCACCATTCCGCTGCCGCCAAATCAAAGTGGTTCAACCTCGCTCCAATGCAAATGATCTGTCACCAACACCAATCCGGACATTCATGTGTGCTCAAGACAACAAGATCTCTAGACAGCGTTGCGCCATGAGCAAGCAAAGGCGTTCGCCTAGAGCTGGGGCAATCCGCCGCAGCTTTCCTGCGCAACGATGCAGGGATTCGTCTCCGAATAAGCAACGAAGGGCACCCCCGTGGGATGTCGCCCTGAGAACACTGTTTTTTTGGAAAAAGGTGCCCTTAGCAAAATCCACGCTGATTCTCTGTGCGCTCTGGGTTTAGCTGCGAGTTCATGTCATACGTTACAAGCCTGTGAGCTTGTCTTTGTGCCCCCGCAACCCCCAAGCAATCCGAAGTACAGTCCTCGTGCAAACGGGATCTAAGAAGTCCAACACAGTTGGCCTCACACGTCTGGGGGTCGCACTTCTCAAGTAGCGAACTTTGCCAACACCCAGTTGCGCCAAGCTCGGCGCTTTCCAATTCCGGGCAGCACGATGCAGATCTCCCTTAGGGAGCTGCACCTTAAACACACGCCCAAACACGTTCGCTATTTTGGTGGCCTCTCTCAACCTCAATTGCTGAGCTGAAACCTCCTGAATGTCGTTTACTGTCGGAAATGTGCCATCTTCTTGCTGCAAATCTTCTTCACCTGAGATCAACTAGATCCTAAGTACAGCACGTGCTGGTGGGATCACCCACTGATTCCTGGCACGGCCACTGCTCCCAAGTGAAGTCAGCTTGGCATCGGCCGGAGAATGCCGACTTCCTCTGCTTACGATTCTCCCAAGGAGTTGCTTCCCAAACCAAGGCGAAGGGAGACATGGGGGTTGATCAAAGGTCCTCTACACGGGATGACCATTGGGGAGGTTGAGGGTTTTTTTGTTGTTGTTGTTTCTAAACTAGCCCCGGCTTTTTACTCGCCCCGGCTCAGCACAAGGCCGCCCCCATGCGGCTCTGAGGAGGGTTGGCTGGGAACCCTTGCCTCGCTCTCAGGTTGGGGGCAACAGTTGGTATTCTCGGCCGAGTTGGCCAGGTTGGGGGGTCGTCGGTGGGGCGCATCCCCAGCATCACCGGCCTCGCTCGGACTAGGGCTGCCAATTGGCTTTGATGTGGTGGCAGTTCAGAGTTGCTCCGGGCTGGTTTCGGGTAAGTGTTGGGCTTCCTGAGGTGTTGGCTTGGAGCTGATTTGCGCGAGGTGTGCGGCCCGGTTTTTGCAGTAGCCTTTGGGCTGCTTCAGGGCGTGGTTGCGCAAGTTTTGGGGTGGTTGGGTGGTTTGTTTGGGGCAACGCCCCACAACCAATCCCAAAGCAGCCCAAAAATTGCATAACCACGCCCTGAAGCAGCCAAAAGGCTACTGCAAAAACCGGGCCGCACACCTCGCGCAAATCAGCTCCAAGCCAACCCAAACCGACTCAAAGTCAACCTAAAGCCTCCCAGCCGCATCCTGGATATCAGGCCTTTACAAAGCCTGAATGAACCTCAAACAAACCCAAGCCCCGCCCTCATTCTATGACACCTCAGCAAGCCCAACACTCACCCGAAACCAGCCCGGAGCAACTCTGAACTGCCACCACATCAAAGCCAATTGGCAGCCCTAGTCCGAGCGACTGGCCGGGGCTAAGCAAGCCGGGGCTAGTAAAAAAAAAAAACGGTTCCCATTGGGGAACCCACTAAAAAGACAATATTTCCCACTAAATAGGAAAAGTTACCTCTGGTCATGTGGGGGCTAGGAATATTGATCAACCCCCAGATGCTTGGGCATAGGCCGGAGAAAAAGTGTTCGACAGTCGAGTGCGCTGTGGGGGAGGAGAGTCCAAAGCCGAAGGCACCTCCGTGCAAATCACTTGGACGGTGTCGTTGGGTAGTGAGAAGGCCTGACACGAATTCTCACTCTCACTCTTTGCATCCTGGAACGACTGGCCAAAGGCTGAGAACCACTTTTTGGGCGGGAGAGCAGTCTCGGAGGTTGCGTGTGGCTTCACTGTCAGGGATTCAACGACTCCGTCTAAATCTCAAACTGTGTAAGCACCTTTCCCCAAGCGCTTGCCTCCTCAACCAGTCTGCTTGGATTGCCCTCGCTTTGGCCACCTGAATCCATCAATCGCTGAAAGCCCCGCCACCTACGCGCTGAGGCCCCGTCAGACGTTGACGTAAGACCTGGGGAAACTCAGCCCGCTGGGACCAAAGTGAACTGAGGCGCGTCGTCCACACGCCCCCCGGGCCCCGGAGTTGGCGCCTTTGGTTGGGCTGCCAGACCGCAGCTTCTTGCAAAGTGACGTCACCTGCACGCAGATGCGGTTGGTTTCAGCGGGGCGGACAGCAAAGACGCCTCTCAGCACCTCTTTGGGCACCTCAGCACCCAAGGCGCGACCGGAGCCTTGAGGTTCCTTTCACTTCTGGGCATCGATGTGCTGGTAACGCCAAGGCGAAAGTTTCGGACCTCGGCAGCTCGTTGCATGAGGTTCTTCTCCCACTCCTCTGAAGGCTTTGCCTCAGACGGTCAGTCGCGTGAGGCGGTCTGCGTTTGGGGGAGCTCTAACAGGGAGCTCCCAAGGACAAGGCCTCGATTTTCGCTAGGGGTAGTTTCTGTTTAAAGGGAGAAAGGATCTTCCGGCCCAACGATCCGAAAGGATCAGGGGCACCCTGCCAAAACGTCCACGCCCTGGAGCAAGCGGTTGATGACAGCCTCCGACCGGTGAGCCTGGTGCGGGTGTACCGAGTCGCAATCCTTCTCTCGATTCCTCCCCCTTCCGCCCTCTCCTCCCCTCCCCTCCCATCCACAGTCGCACACACGCTTGATTCGATGATTTGGCTTTGCGGAAGGACTGATGCCTGGGGCAGGTGTGGCTGGCCAGGCTTGCATAATTTGATTAGGACTCGCGATTTCCATGGGTTGCTGAGACTAGAGTTTATCATTATAAACTGGATTGCCTAAATAATGTGGACTGGCGGGGGGGATCTGCACTGACGTGTCCACCATCAGTTATTTGCCAGCTCGTTTGGCTGAAACTTGATGATGATTGCAGCATCATCTTTGAGCCACGTGTCGCATCCCCAAGAAGCACCAAGGCAGAGAGAAAAAACTTGGACGGCACTGCCGACATCCCAACCCCAGCTGCGTTTGTCTCAAAACAGGGATCAGGGATTTGGATTCAAATCCCCCCCCCAGTTGTTGGGCCTTTCCCAGGGTCTAGTGGAGCGACTGATGGAGAGACCCCTTCCCAACCCAAGGAGTTCTCATCGGATCGCGATGGACTCGCGACTCACGCCTCGGCCTCCCAGTGCAGAGACGTGAGCCGCTCCGCCAGCAGAAGCGTCAGGAGCTGCAGCGTGGGAAGGAATGCCGCGGCCTCCGAAAAGCTGTCTGGCAATGTTGACCCCATGTGAATTTCATCCAACCAGCTTATTTAAATAAGGGTGGGAACCCCTCCAGAAGTGATGATTCCCCACAAAACCCAGAGACACCGTTTCCCGTCAAACCAAGGTCAATTTGCACCAACATCATGGGTTTGAGCTCTTGGACCCCAACCAATCGTGGTGCTGTCCTGTTTCCCTTGCAACCAAGGTGTACAGGGTACCTTTTTAAAAAATAACTCATTTGAAAACCGAAGGACGTTTTCAGGGGCTAAGAGTTGGATCCCAGGACCGGCAAGCGCGCGTCGCTGTGCTGCCATGCAAGTAGCTTTCTGTGCACGGGTGAGTGTAAACATGTGCGTATGTCTGTTTGTGCGTGGACGTGTGCGTGTGCGTGTGCGTGTGTGCGTGTGCGTATGTGTATATATGTGTGCTTGTGTATGTGTGAATGTGTATGTGTGTGTGTCTGTGTGTATGTTTGTATGTTTGTATGTGTGTATGTGTATATGTGTGCATGTGTATATGTGTATGTGTGGTATGTGTAGGTGGGTATGTGTGCATGTGTGTGTGTGTGTACGTGTGTATGTGGGTATGTCTGCATGTAAGTATGTATGTATGTATGTATGTATGTATGTGTGTATGTGTGTGTACGTGTGTGTGTGTATGTATGTGTAGGTGAATATGTGTAAAGGTGTAAATGCGGGGAATTGCGTGCGCAAGCGTGTGTGTGTGTGTGTGTGTGTGTGTGTGTGTGTGTGTGTGTGTGTGTGTGTGTGTGTGTGTGTGTGTGTGTGTGTCCGTC